TCAAAAGCCTTCCTGAAGTCTAGGAAAACTATATCCACTGCCACCCCTGCATCCAATGATTTAGTGACCTGGTCGTAAAAGGCCACCAGGTTGGTCTGACAGGACCTGCTGCTGATGAACCCGTGCTGGTTGCCCCTGAGCATGCAGTTCCCTGCTGGCCCCTCCTGGATATGTGCCAGAATAATTTTCAAAACTAAAGAAACCATTTCACAGCACTAAAGACCTTACAAACTGCAGTACTGCTACCCTTTCCCAAGCAAGCTAATCCTACCTTTTGTAGGATCACTCAGGCAGTCCTGTGGTCTTCCATCATCAGGACCTCCAGTGTACATCCAGGTTTAGAAAATGATGAGACTGCTGATGGGTGCAGCTTCATGAATATGAGAGACTGAATTTAAATAGGAGCTGGAACTGCCAGAGATGAATGACCATAAATATTGCTTCATTCAGAACCAAATGTAAAATTAATTTATTTGACTTCCCTCTCCCTGAAAGCATTCCTCACACACTGAAAAAAAGAATAAACATAAAAGGGGGGAAAGACTGGAAATCAGTCAAGTTATTTCTCCTATAAACTAGGAAAGAAAAAGAGAATGAGATTCATTTCTACTATCATTGTAAGTCCAATTTCAGATGATAACCCCTTGTGGTTAAAAAAAAAACAAAACAAAAAAAACGTGTAGCCATCTAGTTTTGTTTTTCTGCTGACACATTATAGCATAAGGGCGACATTCAGAAAATCATTGCAAAATCTAAGTAATTTGGCTTTTTGCAGATCTTCTTGGCAGCGACTGTGTAGTAAAAGAAAAAAATTTCTGATCCAGTGCAGGGACTAGCCATGGGCCTATACCATAACTCCTTTGTAATGCCTGTTCCAGAATAACCACTGGTAGAGATCACGGGCCCTTCATATACGCTCAGTTTCACCTGTTGAAATCAGTTGGGATTCTTTTCATTGACTTCATTGAACTTTGGATCACTGGCCACTAAACTTTCTTAAAATGCAGATTCAATGGACTTTGTCCTAGTCCTTCACTAAGATTCCATTATCAGTGCACTGGAAGAAAATAATGCATCTTACAGTGTATAGGTCAACACATTCTATAAGATGACTCCATATTTCTGTTTTAAAAGTTAGAATTTTTGTATGTCCAGTGTATGTTTAGTGGCAGTTAAACACTACCGACCCCACCTTGGTGTGCAAGGTGCTGGAAACCCGAGCAGGCTCATGGGAGAGTTGGTTTGCTGAAGGGATCCCTGGAAGTTGGATTGGGCCCCTGGGAGCTCAGGCAGCACATGGCCCACTGGCAGCCTGCCTGGATGGCCCCAGTGGATGCTGCCATTGTGGAGGAAAGGACCAGGCCCCCCTGCAGGTCAGGGGCTGCCTGGCCCAGTTGCAGCTAGCTACCCAGCTATGGGACTAGTGGGGAGTCTCCACCAAAAGCAGGATTGGGCCCCTCACCCCTTGTGTCTTCAGCAGGTGCCTGTACCTGGCAGGATGCCTGGCATTGCCCAGGAAGAGGCTATCTTGCTCCAGGAGCAGCATGGGGTGTAGGGTAGGGGCAGGGAAGGAGTCTGGGCCCACCCGACACCCCTAGCCTCCTCCCCTGCCCCTGCCCAACACTTTGCACTAGCCCTGGGGCAAGCCAGTCCTTCCTGGGCAGTACCAGGCGTCCTGCTGGCTGCAGGCACCTACTGAAGATACAAATGGAAAGCAAATGGATCCTGCTTCTGGTAGAGCCTCCCCACCTGCCCTGAGGCCAAGGAGCAAGTTACCAATGTCTAGGCCACCCCTGAGCTATAGTGGGGGATCCCAGTCCTTCCTTCCACAGCGGCAGCGTGCCTCAGAGCCAGCCAGTCAGGCTGCCAGTGGGCCGTGTGCTGCCCAAGCTCCCAGGGGCCCAATTCAACTTCTGATCCCACCCGCACACTGTCTCTCCCATGAGCCCGCTTGGACTTCCAGCGCCTCAAACACCGACATGGGGGATGGTATGTAAGTTGAGGTTGAATTTTAAGTGTTCAACATTTGCCTTCAAAACTTGACTTATACACTATGAAATACAGTAGTTACTTTAGTAACTTCAGTGTAGTGCAGAGGTACCCAAGCTATCTTTAAAAATGGTAGCCCAGATGCTGGTTACCAGTGTAGCCAGGGTATTTTGGGGTTTGATTGAGACTAACTTCCCCTTGTTCTTGTGTGTATGCACATGTGTAAAATGGTGATCTTTATATTGCGTTTTTTTTACCTCTAACAGTTACATGAATCATTTGCCATTAATTGCCTGTGAACTTGCAGACAATTCTGCGCACTGGGTAATTCTCCACCAGTCTTTTGGATAATTCATAATTTATAATATGCAATACTGTTCTAAGTTAAATTTAACAGTATTTCAGAAGATCAGTTTAAAATATGCTAATTTGCAATCTTGGATTTTTCTGAGGGTATGCAGAATCCTGGATGTTGAATGATCCGTTAGTCACTTAAATCTCTCAAACCAGTAAGCTTCACATAATCTTGGAAACAATAGCAGTGCATTGAATTGCCGACTTCACAGGTCAGCATCCTATTTAAGTATTGAGGATAAATTATTTTTAATTTCTTCTGCAAATGTGGTTGCTTTATGTATAATCCACAATCAGTAAAATGCACACACATGTTCATTAGCAACACCAGATTATGACTGATATAAAAAAACCCACTAGATTTTGTACTTAATTTCTAGCATAGGACGTTTGCTTCTGTTGATCATCCCATTGTCACAATATCTATTAGATTGCCTAGTGCTCACCTTGTGATGCTCTATTAGTCAAAATATCTCTTTGCCCATATATTCAAATGAACTGTAGAGATTATTAACTTGCCCTTGGCAAAAAGATTTAGTTTTTTAGGGCAAATGCTTTTATAAATTCTCTGTGACAGTTTTATTACATATTGTAAATAGAATACCCTGCCAGATTTTTATGACAGCCATCACTAAGTCATTCAGACCTTATTACTTTTCAACCCTTCATGTACTTTGAATATTCTTTTAAAAAACTCTTTTAACATTCCTTTGTTGGACATTGGATTTTCCACATTTATGTGGTTAGCTGCCTTTATAAACACAACTGTTCAAAAAATTTTGTATTAAGATAAATATTATATCTTAGAGAAAACTACTACAGGCAAGCACTAATTTGCATGTTCTGAATTTATAGCTATAAACTCATTTAAGCTCGTTTAGTTACTTGGTAGCACTTAAATAATGTTTTTGTGCTCAGCTTCCTACCTATATTTGACTGTACTAACTACCACTAAATAGGTCTTCTTGAAAAGTACTTTTGTTATTGCTTTAAGTTTTACAGTTTATATTTCAAAATCATGTACCTATTATATTGAATTAATCTGGCCTTTTTCATGTTAAGAGATATTCAAGCATCTTGCCCCTTTTTCGAGATGGCAAAACCTCAAGTGAAAAATCCCATGTTTTCTATTAACTTATATCTTTGTTCTCAGGTCAGTCTCAAAATTGGTTTGAATTATTTGTATTATTGTTTTTTGTATTGTATTAACATCTAAAAGTTGGAACGTCCATGTTGTGCAAGGCACTGTTTTTATGTGTAATTAATTAATAACTCTAATTAAAAAAATACCCAATTTTCAGTTTAAAAAAAAAAAAAAAAAAAAAAAAAA